CGGCCAGTGGTCATTTACTATCTCGGGGGCAAAAATCTGCTGTAAATTGTGCTCAGTCCAGTTTCTCTGGTCGAGTCACAAACTGGTCTAGACAGCGCGCAGGGATCGGCGACCTCTTATCTAGTCCTGGCATCACCTGCAAGCGATACACTGACTGAAGCCACAACAAACTAACCCAACACACACACACACACACACACACACACTTTCCCCCAAAGTCCCCGGTTTGGGGGTGGGGGGGCAGAGATTAGCTGGTAAGGGGTCACTTCTGCTCCTCGGTTTATTTTCCTTTGGTGAATCGTGTTATTGCGCGTCAGCGGCTCAGACTACACGTAGTGACCTTTTCTACTGATGTACAACAACGTCACACTGTGATGTGATGAGTGTGCGCAGAAAAACTGCAGATTAACGTGTTTTGGATTTTTTTTTTTTTTTTTAGTGGTGGTTGTCAACAGTAACGAGTCGTTTTTAAAACCAATGATCGAGACATTGGCAAAAATATTTCCCTTATTTGGTCCGTTAGTTTCCAAAAACATCTCTATTGGCTGATTTTATATATAGAGAAAGAGAGAAGGGGGGGTGAGGGTCTGGAGGAGGGGGCTGTCAGTGTGAGGTGTAACATGTCACCAAAAATCTCCCCCCAGCAGAGTCGTCGTCGTCGTCGTCTTCGTCGGAAGTTTGAATGACAAAGGGCAGATAATAGATTTGTAATTGAGCTATTTCTAATGAGATAAGTCAACAATGTGCGCAGATTAAGATAACAGAGGAATAACAATGGCGTTTACAGACAGGAATGCAGGCCTCCTGCAGCAGAACATCACCGCGGGAATACACGTGTTTCCACTTCGTTTTCCTGCATTAATAACTTCACTTCACTCGTGTTCTCGGGAGGTCCATACATTAAATCAAATTAAATTAGCAATTTTATTCCAATTACAAAATATATTCCCAAACACCTTGATGACGATAATAATAATAATAATAATTTGGAGATAATAATCGTATCAGAATTACAAAAATGAGAACAAAACATGCAGCAAATTTGACGCTGACTTTTGATGAAACTTCTTAAAATATCCAATGAAAGGAAGACGTTATTTTACTTATTCATATTTATAATTTAAAAAAATATTTATGATGTGCTTAGAATTTTACTATCAATTACCAGATTAAACTGTTGGTGAATGTGTGTGTGTGTGTTCTCTGACACCCGTAAAGTGACTGACTACCTGAGGGCCACACGATCTTCTCCAAAGAGTCTATCGATGGGCGTTTCCCCCTCTGTGAGCAAGAACAAGAACCAAAACAAACACCTGGAGCTACATGACTGCATACCAGAGCTTTAGCACCCCTCCTACCACAGCTACCTCCCCCTCCTCATACACACACACTTGGCACACTTACATCACCCTATAGCGACTCTGGCACAGACTCTTACACACAGCTTCAATCACACATTTAATTCCTATGACCACAAACACGTGACGTTTCCCTGATTCCCTGAAGCGGCCAAGAGACAAAAAAAAAAAAAAAAAAAAAAAAATCAAGCCTGCCACACACTGCCCCAGTACAGTCCAGTCCAGTACAGTTCAGTCCAGTACAGTCCAGTTCAGTACAGACGGAGTCCACATTGAATCTCATCATCCAGACGTCAGTTGTCGCCAGGGCCGTTTTTCACCACGGACTTCCACGTGTGCGGTGTGTGCGGTGTGTGCGGTGTGTGTGTGTGTGTGTGTATGTGTGTGTGTGTGTCAGGTTGCCCACAGTGCAACAGGACGCTGTGAGTGGGAATGACACCGTGTCATCAATGATTAAGAGGCCGAGTCCATTTAGAGGTGTGATGTAATTCCCTAATTGGCAGAGGGGGGGCGTGCGTAACGAGATCAGTAACGTGTCAGCTGTGGCGGCCGCTGCGACCACCTGTCACGGCGGCGTGAGAGACGGAGCTGCAGCGGCGACACCGTGTTAGTGCAGATATCGTCAACCGAGCCCGTTCATACCGCGATAAACCGGTCAGAAAATAATCTGTTTCAAGTTAGGAAAAAAACAACAAGAATACTGGCTAAAAATGGCTGTGGAAAGATTTAATAAAGTCATTTTCATTTCAGACATTTACTGTGTGTCTGAGTGATATAAGAGTTACTCAATATGTGATTGAAAAAAATCCTTGTACTTTGTGTGTAAAACATAGAACAATTTAAAAATTTTTAGAGTAAATATTCCTTTAATCAGCCACTCTGAACCAAAACATCCAGAGTAACAGTATTAAAAGTATTAAAAGGAATGATGATTTCATAATAATAATCATAATAATTATTATGATTATTATTATTATAAAATAACTAAAAACAATTCTTTGGAAAGACTGTTCTCATCATGGGTAAAAAAAATAATGAAAAAAATGGTAATAAAATAGTTTATTATCTCAACAGACTTTGTCTGCACTCTCATCTGAAACTGTTCCCAGATTATTGAATTATCCTTTACAGACACACAACGTGTGTAAATGTGTGTGTGTGATTTGGGCTGAGGCTGTGTGAAAACTTCAACACTTGGGCCCACGGTGACCCGGCTCCTCCAGTGGGGGCCACCGGCAGAGAAAAGTACCGGGATGAACTTGAAGCCCCGAGCTCTCAGGGGAAGAACTCTGACAGGCTGACTTAACGCAGAGACCTCGGCTGCAGCCCCGAGAAAAAGATACAGAGGTAGAGGCTGAAGGGGGGGCCGGGGGGGAGGGGGCGTTAGTGTTGGTGGGGGTGTTGAAAAAAACGAGTTGGCTGAGGGGATGTTTGGGTCACAGAATAGTTTGTATAAGACTGAATCACACACGGTGATTTGTAGTTTACGTGACAAATGGAGGTGGTGGTGTAAAGTTTGATGCATCCGTACACGTGGAGTCACCAGGAGCAGGTCGGACGTTCTGTTTGTGAGTCACAGATTTGATATAAAACAGGAGCTGCCACAGTGGAAAAAAAAAGAATACAAATATGTGTGCTTTCTTCCTGAAGCTCATTTGCCTCAGCAGATTTGAACCACGTCTCCCTGGTTTAAAGCCCAGGAACACATCAGCATGCAGACCACACCAGCACCCAGTCAACCCAGTCAACCCAGTCAACCCAGTCAACCCAGGGACGGAACCTCCATTTGTGGAAAGCCGATCCACTGGTGCAGCACCATCTACAGGCAGGTAATTTACCATTTGGTGAGAAAGCTGTGATGGCGTCCGTTCTAAGGTTACACTGATAATGAAGGGGCGATATCAACATCAGGGGGAAGTAACGGGCCGTGGTGCAGCATCGATCCCACAGAGTTAATGTTGTTTCAACAGGACAGTGACACAACCAGTAAATATCTGCATGTAATGATTCAGGTTTTTAAAGAAATGGGACCAGTTTGGACTTCAAGGTATTTTAGAACGCTGGTTCAAATAAACAAGGATTGATTTAAAAATCGAATAAAAATGGAGCATTATGTCTGAAGGCTGATGTAGTTTTGGATTAAATGGTGTATTTTAAAAGACACATTTTCTGATGTGCAGTGGTGAGACTACTGTCTGTCACCGGAAGGTTCTGGGTTCAGTTCCACCAAATACTGAAGTTTAATTTCATCAGGAAGAGGAACTGGTGTAAAAACTAACTACAGCTGTGGCGACCCCTAAAAACAAAGGAAGAGGAACTGGTGTAAAAACTAACAACAGCTGTGGCGAACCCAACAAACAGGACAATATTTAGTAAATATGAGGTAAATCCCATAAAAACAAACAAGTGAACTGCCAATTAAAATAAAATGAAAACCTCAGTCTCAAATGTTGACTGTAAAAGAGTTTCAACTTTACTGGTTTCCTCTCAGTGTTCCCTGAGTCTGTGTTTAACCACGTGTGAGTGTGCAGGAGGGTGAACAGACCTCGGGCTCACCTGGAAAGCACACACACACACACACAGACACACAGAGCTGCGATCGGCCTCTGTGGTTCCTCTGCTGAGACGGTGTCAGAGTCGTGTAAATCACGGCGCCACACCCACACATAAATCTACAGTAAAAACAACTCACTAAAGCCTATTAGGAGGAGAGAGGACGGTCGGAGCCGCCCCTCCTGACAATGACTCGCAATAAAACACAACAAGGCCTCACCTGTACCACCCCCGGCCCCCGCCCCTCCACTCGCTGACAGGACCAAACTGTCATTAACCAAACCAAGAAGACAAACAAGTGTCACGGGCAGCGAGTGTGAGTCAGCGGGGATGAGAACCAGCATCAAACGGTTGGAGGGAGACACCGTGGCGTTCACCGGGGTCAAAGCCGTGTCAGTTCAGGAGTTCAGTTCAAGTGTTTTCAGGAAGTCTTTGTGTTTTTGATTTAGAGCTAAAGTTCAAGCGGCCTCTGACTGAGGATGTTGGACCCAAGA